GAAGAGACTGAGGTTCAGAGTAGTCAGGGAGTGAAAGAGCCAGGTGGACCTCTTCTTACTCTACTCCATGGCCTTCTCACCCCAGCTGGGCTGGATTCCAGAGCCCACCCTGCTGTGTCTTCTCCTTGGGTAGGGCCCTGGGGTCTCTGTCGTGGAGGCCTGTCTGTGAATCTGGGTCGGTTCTCTCTGGTCTCTGGCCTTCAGATGGGGTTGCTTTCCTGGCCCCTCCCCTCAGGCACCAGGTCTCTGCCACTCCCTCCACACAGTCAGTCTTGGATCCTGCTGCTCTGTAATTCCAACCTGGAATGTCCTTTTCTTCCCTAACCTAAATCCTAAACTAGGCTGGGCTCAAGTGGCTCATGCCTGTAATCCCAGCACTTTCGGAGGCTGAGGCAGGAGGACTGCTTGAGGCCGGGAATTTGAGGCCAGCCTGAGGAACATAGAGAGACCCAATCTCTACAAAATAAAAATAAGATCACTTGAGCCCAAGAGTTTGAGGCTGCAGTGAGCTGTGACTGCACCACTGCACTCCATCCTGGGCAACAGGGCGAGCCCTTGCCTCAAAAAAATAAAAAAAAAAAGTGGGCCTGGTATGGTGGCTCACACCTGTAATCCCAGCACTTTGGGAAGCTGAAGTGGGTAGATCACCATAGGTCAGGAGTTCAAGACCAGCCTGACCAACATGGTGAAACCCCGTCTCTACTAAATATACAAAAATTACCCAGGTGTGGTGGTGCACGGCTGTAATCTCAGCTACTCGGGAGGCTGAGGCAGGAGAATTGCCCGAACCCAGGAGGCGGAGGATGCAGTGAGCCGAGATTGTACCATTGCACTCCAGCCTGGGTGACAGAGCGAAACTCCGTCTCAAAATAAAAAAAAGTGCTGGGCACAGTGCCCAGTGTGAGGTATGCCTCCCAGAAAGAAGTGCTTCAACCACAGGATGCAACCTACCTAAAGGCTGAGAAGTCAAGGTCAAGGTGGCCCAGCCCCCTTGCTGCTGCCGACACTGCAGACAGACCAGGGCCTGGCAGACACTTCGAGAGCAGTAGCAGTGCCCATTTTGTGCCCGTCTTGCACACCATACTCTGAGATGGTCAGAAGTTCCCACTCCCTGCAGGAAGAGCTGGTGCAGCGAGCATCCCAGGCAGAATCAAATGGGGTCAAACCAGCTGCTCCCCAATCCAGGGACCAATTTGGGCTGGTCAGTAACCCCCAGAACCTCCACTTCCCACCCCAACAGAGTCACAGGCCCATGCCCAGGACACTCCCACGACATCAGCCAGACTGTGCACAGCCATAGCTCCCTGCAGACTACGACACATTCCCACACCCACCAATTCTCTCTCTCCTTTTTTTTTAAGACAGAGCCTCGCTGTCGCCCAGGCTGGAGTGCAGTGGCACGATCTGATCGCAGCTCACCGAAACCTCTGCCTCCCAAATAATTCTCCTGCCTCATCCTCCTGAGTAGCTGGGACTACAGGCGTGCGCCCAGCTAATTTTTTTTTGTATTTTTAGTAGAGACGGAGTTTCACCATGTTGGCCAGGATAGTCTCGATCTCTTGACCTCTTGATCCACCCACCTCAGCCTCCCAAAGTGCTGGGATTACAGGCGTGAGCCACTATGCCTGGTCCCCTCTTGCCCCCACCAAGCAGCAGGTGTGATTTCTTCAGCCCATGAATCTGTCATGAAGCTTCTACAGTTCCCTCGGCTCTGAGAGCAAAGCCCAGCTCCATCCCAGGTCCCTGACCCTCTGGGTTCACCCAGGTCAGCCTCTGGGGTGTGATCTTTCCCTGCTTCCCCCACTGCCCACTCAGCCAGCCTCCCTGCTCTTTCGAGTTTCTGGGGTTTTTTTTTTTTTGAGACGGAGTCTCACTGTCACCCAGGTGGAAGGCAGTGGCAAGATCTCGGCTCACTGTGACCGCCTCCTGGGTTCAAGTGATTCTCCTGACTCAGCCTGCTGAGTAGCTGGGACTACAGGCGTGCGCCACCACGCCCAGGTAATTTTTATATTTTTAGTAGAGACAAGGTTTCACCCTAATGGTGAGGCTGGTCTTGAACTCCTGACTTCAGGTGATCCACCCACCTTGGCCTCCCAAAGTGCTGGGATTACAGGTGTGAGCCACCACGTCCAGCCTTTTCTCACAGTTTCTCTAGTCTCTCAGGCCACGGGCCTGGCACAATGCTCCAGCCCCACATCAACAGGGTCAATGCCAGGCCATTGCCTGAGTTCTGCCCTTACCCCATTCCTCAGGGCAGCCTCCTCACCAGGCCAGCCCCTGAGAGTACCCCGGCACGTGGCAGAGTCTGTAGGGAGACACCGATGTCTGCCACCACTGGCCCTGTGGTCTCTCTATCCTGTAAGCTGGAGGCAGCTGGAGGGCAGGGACCATATCTGGCCATGCTTACCACCAGGTCACCCAGGGTGGCATGAGCCTGTAGTCCCAGCCTCTTGGGAGGCTGAGGCAGGAGGTTCGCTTGAGTTCAAGAGTTTGAGGCTGCAGTGAGCTGCACTACCGCACTCTATCCTGAGTGACAAAACTAGACCCTCTCTCACAAAAAAAAAAAAAAAAAAAAAAAAGCAGAGCCCTCACCCTCACCAGAGAGGGACACGGCTCAGTAAACAGTAGGCAGGCATCTGTCACTTGTCACGGCAGACAAGTTATTAAACTTCCCTGAGCCTCAGTTTCCCCATCCATAAAGTGAGGATGATAAGATCACATCACAGCACAGGCCTGAGGATTCAACGGGGCCATGGGTGTAAATACTTACTCTCATTCCCCTGCCCGCAACCCCAGAGCTCTTCCCAGAAAGCTCCAGGAGAAACCTTTGCCAGGTCCCCAGAGCAGGGAGGGGGGACTCCAGGCAACAAAACCCTTTTGGGGTCCCTGCTCTGGGTCCCCAGGCCCCCTGCCCTTCTCCACTCGGCCTTGGTGCTCCGAGCCCGCGTTCTTCATCTCGGGTTGGAATGACCTCCCACCTTCCCCAGGAAGCCTTGCAGACTGGACACAGGGACCCGTCCCTTCAACAGCTCCTCACACCCCAGGCCCAGAAGGCCCCATCAGGGACTTCCCCGTTCCCTGCATGTCACTTCCCAAGGACAGCAAGACACAGCCCTGTCCCGTCTGCCTGACCACCACCAGCACAGGTCACGGCTGTATTCAGACTCCAGAAGACTGGGGGTTACCGTCCCCTTTCCAACCTGCCCCCAAAAGCGGGGACTAGTGGAGAAGAGGGGCCTCAGCGGGAAGCTTTCAGCTTCAGTGACCTGCTTCTTTCAACCTCAGCAACTCTGATCACTCGGGTTGTAACTGATAAGGCATCCGCACCTCCTGGCCCTGGGCAACGGGCCATCGTCGTTATTATTAATTATTAATTATTATTATTTGAGACAGAGTCTCTGTCATCCAGGCTGGAGTGCAGTGGCGTGATCTCAGCTCACTGCAACTTCCGCCTCCTGGGTTCAAGTGATTCTCCTGGCTTAGCTTCCCAAGCAGCTGGGACTATAGATGCAAGCCATCACAGCTGGCTAATTTTTGTATCTTTAGTAGAGACGGGGTTTCACCATGTTGGCTAGGCTGGTCTCAAACTCTTGACCTCAGGTGATCTGCCCACCTTGGCCTCCGAAAGTGCTGAGATTACAGGCGTGAGCCACCTCACCCAGTTTTATTATTATTGAAACAGGGTCTAGCTCTGTCACCCAGGCTGGAGTGTAGCAGCACGACCTCGGCTCACTGCAATCTCCGCCTCCCAGGCTCAAGCCATCCTCCCACCTCAGCCTCCTGAGTAGCTGTGATTACAGGCATGCGCCACCATGCCCAGTTATTTATTTTTGTATTTTTTGTAGAGACGGAGTCTCACTATGTTGGCCAAGTTGTTCATGAATTCCTTGGCTCAAGCAATTCCTCCACCTCAGCCTCCCAAAGTGCTGGGATTATAAACATGAACCATTGCACGCAGCCAGGACCAGGGGTGCTGAGGGCTCCAGTTCCCAGACTTCTCCAGTCCATGCCTGGCACATGCATGTGGATAGGCTGGATCAATAGGTAATATCAATAACAGCCAAAATGTATGGGGTACTTAGTATTAGGCACCGTCTGAACAAATGATATGTTTTAACGCACTTCCAACTATGAGGTACGATTAAAATTCCCATTTTGGGGCAGGCCCGACGTGGTGGCTCACACCTGTAATCCCGGCACTTTGGGAGGCCGAGGCGAGCAGATCACCAGGTCAAGAGATCGAGACCAGTCTGGCCAGCATGGTAAAACCCCCTCTCTACTAAAAATACAAAACTTAGCTGGGCGTGGTGGTTCACACCTGTAATCCCAGCTACTCCAGAGGGAGGCTGAGGCGGGAGGATTGCTTGAACCTGGGAGGCGCCTAGTGACAGAGTGGGACTCCATCTCAAAAAAAAAAAAAAAAATACCATTTCAGTCAGGCACAGTGGCTCACACCTGTAAACCCAGCACTTTGGGAGGCTGAGGCAGGCGGATCACCTAAGGTCAGGAGTTCGAGACCAGCCTGGTCAAAATGGTGAAACCCTATCTCTACTAAAAATACAAAAAGTAGCCGGGAGTGATGGCGGGTGCCTGTAATCCCAGCTACTCAGGAGGCTGAGGCAGGAGAATTGCTTGAACCCAGGAGGCGGAGGTTGCGGTGAGCCGAGATCGCACCACTGCACTCCAGCCTGGACGACAAGAGCAAAACCCCATCTCAAAAAAAAAAAAAAATCTCATTTTACCTATACAAAGAGCAAGGCCCAGAAAGTTTAAGACACTTGCCCAGGGTCACACAGCAACAGTCTCCAGAGCCCACATTACCTGTGTCTCTTGTCACTTTGTATGGTCCCGATAAGGAACACGTGTCCCAGGCTGGACTGTGTCCGAGCCCACTTCTAGTCCCATCCCTGCCCAGCCCCGGATGGCCAGCTTGGCCATGTGGGGTGGAGCAGGGGAGGGAAGGGAGGCTGGGCCCAGAGCCCAATGGTGCCCGCACTCACCAGCACGCGGTCCCCCAGGCGCAGGTCCTTGTCACCCCGCTTCACAGAGCCGCTGTCCGAGAGGTTGGAGCCTGACTCGTTGCCCGTCTTCACGGAGCTGTTGAGGACGCTCTCCCGCAGGGGGATGACGCGGCTGGTCAGCGGGGGTGTGGCCGTGCCCGAATGCAGTGACAGGTTCTGGGCAGTCAGTGACTCCACGGAGTGGGCATCGCTACCCGAGCCCTCGGCTGTGGGCTGCCGGGTCAGCTTGGAGGGCCGTGTGAAGATGCCCTGGAGAGCCGGGCACTCGAAGTAACGCACGCCACCCACCGCACCGTCATTCTTGCCCACCGGGTCGTCCAGCACCACGCCAGCCCACTGGCCCGGTGCGAACTGCGTCTCGCCCAGGTACTGCACCACGCCTGGCTTCACGCCGTTCACCCACACCCGCTCGCCCACCACAAAGTCCCCCAGGAAGTCATCGCCCACTTCGGCCGCCTTGGGGCCTGGCTTCTCAGAGGCAGCAGCTGCAGCCGGGGAGGAGGAGGATCCCGATGACTGCTTGTGTAGGGGGGAACCTGCAGAGAAGGAGAAGGAGAGGGAAAAGGGTGGCTATTAGGGCTGGCCTGGGACTGGCCCCTGGGTGGCCCCAGGAGGACAGAGTCTAGGGTTGGGAGGTGGCTGATTTGTATTTTTGGTAGAGATGGGAATTCACCATGTTGGCCAGGCTGGCCTCGAATTCCTGACCTCAAGTGATCTGCCCACCTCGGCTTCCCAAAGTGCTGGGATTACAGGCATGAGCCACCACACCCAACCCATATTTATTTACTTTTTGAGACAGGATCTTGGTCTGTCACCCAGGCTAGAGTGCATTGGCGAGATCATGGCTCACTGCAGCCTTCACTTCTGGGCTCCACAATCCTCCTACCTCAGCCTCCCGGGTAGCTGAAACCACAGACACCTGCCACTACACCGGGCTGTTTTGTATTTTTTGTAGAGACGAGGTCTCACCATGGAAACCGAGGCAGGCACGGTGGGCTGTCTCCCCCACTATTCCACCCCTCCAAGCAGTCCCCAGGAAAGTATGCCCTAAGAAGCAGTGTTTCCAGGCTGGGTGCAGTGGGTTACACCTGTAATCCCAGCATTTGGGAGGCTGAGGCAGCCGGATCACCGGAGTTCGAGACCAGCCTGACCAACATGGTGAAATCCCGTCTCTACTAAAAATAAAATAATTAGCCAGGTGTGGTAGCACGTGCCTATAATCCCAGCTACACAGGAGGCTAAGGTGGGAGGATCACTTGAACCTGGGAGGTGGAGGTTGCAGTGAGTTGAAATCATATCACTGCACTCCAGCCTGGGGGAAAGAGAAAGACTTCATCTAAAAAAAAAAGCAGCAGCAACAGCAATGGCTTCCCACTGCTCAAGGAAACTCCAAGTCCCCGGCCAGGATGAAGTCGTTCTTCAGGATTTCGAGCCACCTCCTCACTAGGTGGGCTCAGGTCCTCAGCTGTTGACCCGAGACCCCCCCGTGGCCCCATGTGGGGCCCAGGGTGTTGTGCAAGTGGTCAATGAGACCCCCATTCTCGTCCTCAGACAGTGACAGGGCCCACAAAAGGCTCCCGGCCTGTTTCCTAAGAGAGGGACACAGCCACAGACTTCCTGCATAAAGACGTCCCCTCTGTCTTTCTTGGGAAAGGAAAGAAAACCCTAGTAACTCTCTCCTGGGCCTCCCCATCTGTTCCCTCCCCAAGCTGCAGCCAGCCGAAGGCCTCAGGGTCTGACTCGGGAAAGTGGCAGGGTGACTAGGGTCAAGACCAGTGTGGGCAGCATAGCAAGACCTCATCTCTCCAAAAAACACAAAACACATAGAACAAAAGAAAATAATTAAAATGGCAGCTGCATTTATGTAGTGCTAACTGCATGCTCCTCAATGGATGGGGCACTTTTTTTTTTTGTAAACAGGCTCGCTCTGTCACCCAGGCTGCAGTACAATGGCACAATCTTGGCTCGCCCCAACCTCTTCCTCCCAAGTTCCAGCGATTCTCCTGCCTCAGCCTCCTGAGTAGCTGGGACTACACGCGTGTGCCACCAGACCAGGCTATTCATTGTAAGCACACATTATGTTCTTATCCTGCAGATTTGGAAACAGAGGGTAAGACACGTGCTCAGGCCACCCAGGCCCGGTAGGACCCAGCTGGTCTGGCTCTGGAATCCTCCCTCTTTTTTTTTCTTTGAGACAGTCTCACTCTGTTGCCCAGGCTGCAGTCCCCAGGCTGGAGTGCAATGGTGCGATCTCCGCTCATTGCAACCTTTGCCTTCCGGGTTCAAGCCATTCTCATGCCTCAGCTTCCTGAGTAGCTGGGATTATAGGCACGTGCCACTATACCAGGCCATTTTGTTCTTTTTAATTTTAGTAGAGATGGGGTTTTGCTATGCTGGCCAGGCTGCTCTCAAACTCCTGGCCTCAAGCTATCCTCCTGCCTTGGCCTCCCAAAGTGCTGGGATTATAGGTGTGAGCCACTGCGCCCGGCCAGAACCCTCCCTCTTGACCACTCGCACAGGGGGTGCCCGGCAGGTGCCAGCTCCTACTCCATATCCATTTCTTATTATTGAGATGGAGTTTCACTCTTGTCACCCAGGCTGGAGTGCAATGGCGTGTTCTCAGCTCACCGCAACCTCTGCCTCCAGGGTTCAAGTGATTCTCCTGCCTCAGCCTCCTGAGTAGCTGGGACTGCAGGCACGTGCCACAATGTCCAGCTAATTTTTGTATTTTTAGTAGAGACGGGGTTTTCACCATGTTGGTCAGGATGGTCTCAATCCCTTGATCTCATTATCCACCCCCCTCAGCCTCCCAAAGTGCTGGGATTACAGGCGTGAGCCACCGCATCTAGCCCCCCACATCCATTTCTAGGGCCCTTTCCTGTGCAGAGAAAGCTCTGTGTAGAACCATGGTAGCACAGGTAATGCCAGTTTCTACCTGCCCTCTGTGCGGGGAGCCCAGAGAAGGGTCCCCAGGTTGAAGGTAACCCAGCATGGCTATTCCTGGTGAGACACTGCCTGCTCAGCTGTCCTGTCCCCAGCTGTCCCGTCCCAGGTGGACCCTCAGGTAATCTCTCCCCGACTCCCGCCCCTCCCAGGGGTCACAGGCCCAGGGACCAGTTGTTTCAACAGCTGCAAAAATCCAAGCCAGGAGCCCATGACAACTGCACGTGGGAACTTTGCTTCATTCTTCCTCTTAGTAGGAGACCCTCAGTGGCCCCCTCATCACAGGGACAAAACCGTCTTCAGATTCCCTGCATGCTGAGGCGTTTTCAGCTTCCTGCAGTTGGGAAACCATGGGAAATTCCCCATCCTTCCAGGGAGTCAGCAGGGACACACTGGCTTGGCCAGGGCAATCCAAGTCAATGGTTTTCCATATCAGTGGCTCAGTGTCCTCAAAACATAACGAAGGATGAGGTCAGAAATAGGGTCGGCCAGGCATGGTGGCTCACGCCTGTAATCCCAGCACTTTGGGAGGCCAAGGCGGGCGGATCACCTGAGGTCAGGAGTTCAAGACCAGCCTGACCAACATGGAGAAACTGTGTCTTTACCAAAAAAAAAAAAAAAAAAAGCTGGGCGTAGTGGCGGGCGCCTGTAATCCCAGCTACTCGGGAGAGGCAGAATTGCTTGAACCCGGAAGGCGGAGGTTGCAGTGAGCTGAGATGGCGCCATTACATTCCAGTTTGGGTAACAAGAGCAAAACTCCGTCTCAGGAAAAAAAAAAAAACATACACACACAAAACAAAAAATAAACAAAAAAATTAAAATAAACCTCCTATGTGTAGTTATCCATTCCCTGGACAGCGATTCCCAGTCAGACAAGAGGCATAAGGGCATTTACTCCAAGTTTCAAGTTCAAAGCATGACAAGGGCCTACGGACACCAGGGAAGGGTGGCCGCAGCTGGCGGCGTGGTCCTGCAGCTGGTGGGGATAATGAGGGCGCCCAGATGACGCATTCTCCCCTCCGCCTTGGAGGATGCAAGTCCTGCCCTCCCTGAGAAAGAGGGGACTGGCCTTTTCCATTCCTGCCCAATCTCACCAGCAGGGACCCCATTTCCTGAGAACCTACTAGATCAGACCCTGTGTCAGACGCTGTGGACAACAGGCATGGCCAAACGGGGCCCAGCAAGGGGATAGGGTGCGGATGCCAGCAGCTACAGTTCAGCTCGCCATGGCACCTATGTAAGTGAGGAAGGGACCCAGAGTGTGGAACCCAGGGGAGGGGGAGGGGGCTCCTCCTTGAATGGAGGTGTGGGTGTTTCCCGTGACCTCTTGTCTCGGAAAGTCACAGAGCTGGCTCCCCCATCTCCTCAGAGAAGCGTTTCATGACTGCTTTATCTAAAATTCATCACCCCAGCCAGGCATGGTGGCTCACGCCTGTAATCCCAGCACTTTGGGAGGCCGAGGCAGGCAGATCTTGGGGTCAGGAGATCGAGACCATCCTGGCTAACATGGTGAAACCCTGTCTTTACTAAAAATGCAAAAAAACAGCTGGGCGTGGTAGCAGTCACCTGTAATCTCAGCTACTCGAGAGGCTGAGGCAGGAGAATTGCTTGAACCCAAAAGGCAGAGGCTGTAGAGAGCTGAGATCATGCCACTGCACTCCTGCCTGGGTGAGACAGTCCCAAAAAAAAAGAAAAAGAAACAAACAAATCGATCCCCACATGCTCAGCTCAGTCAAGGTCGAGACCTGCCTCCTCCAGGACCTCACAGCCAACATCCTCAACCCACAGGACCTCCTTCCTCAGCCCTGGCGAAAGCTCCTCCACCATCCTCCCCATCTCAGGAGGCCCCGCACCCACCCGTGCGCTCAGGCTGCAAACCCCATTGCTCTACCAGCTCACCCTTCCCCCAGTGTAGCAATTCCACAGAAGAAATCACTCCTAATTCATTTATGCCTCCTTCTCAGGGCTCAGAGGCTCGCCTAATTTTTTTTTTTTTTTAGACGGAGTCTCGCTCTGTCACTCAGGCTGGAGTTCAGTGACATGATCTTGGCTCACTGCAACCTCCGCCTCCCAGGTTCAAACGATTCTCCTGCCTCAGCCTCCTGAGTAGCTGGAATTACAGGGGCCCACTCCCACACCCAACTAATTTTTTTGTATTTTTGGTAGAGATGAGGTTTCACCATTTTGACCAGGCTCAGCTCGAATTCCTGATTTCAGGTGATCCGCCCACCTCAGCCCCCCAAAGTGCCAGGATTACAGGTGTAAACCCAGCCAGAAATATATTTTTTAAAAAGAAAAAATAAAATAAGGGAACGCACTCTTTGGCCTATTTCCAAAGGAATAATTCAGAAAGGAAAAAACTGACATCTTGACCTTCAGACACACACACACACTCTCACACACACACACACACACAGTCACACAGTCACACACACACAGTCACACACACACACACACTCACACACACGCACTCACACACTCACATACTCACACACACACAGTCACACACACACACGCACTCACACACACACTCACACACACACAGTCACACACACACACGCACTCACACACACACTCACACACTCACGTACTC